TTGACCTTTTGTGGGGGAGGTACCAAAAGGAGTGGACCGATATATACCATCTTCAAACCAAACTTTGGGTTAATAAAAAGATTGTGATTTGTGTAATTTACAATCGGACACTTTTTATAAGAGTTATAATTATTCAAAATGTAGACCCTTTGAGGTTGAGGTACTTGATGGAGTGGACCAATATCGTCCATTTTCGCACCTGACCTAGCACTGAGGCAAATATTAGGATTTGCAAAGTTGGAGCAAAATCGGATTATCCTTTCTCTTTCTGTTCAATAAAATATTTTTTGAAAATATTTACATTTTGTGGGGGAGGTACCAGAAGGAGTGGACCGATATTGCCCATTTCCGTACTCGATCTAAGTTTGACAATAATATTACGATGTGCCAAGTTTGGAACAAATCGGATACTCCCTTCGAGAGTTATCCTGTGCACCAGCCAGACGGACAGATGGACGAACGGACATCGCTAGATCGACTCCAAATGCCCTGAAAGGGATTTGGTCCAAAAAATCTATGGGCTAAAACCGTTATGTCGATGGGGCACGTTTCGGTGGTATGAGGTTATAACTAGCCATATGGCTGAGGATATAAAAATCTATTTGGCCCATTTTAAAAATGAGAAAGATATCGAATAAATAAAAACAACTTGTGGCATATAATTTTGAATAATTCTGGGCGTAACCTTAGGACTGTATTTCTGTAGTTTTACAAAGTTTTTCTACCTCCTTTTTGTACCATTATTATACCTTTTAAATTTGAGACTATAGAATATATCCTGATGTGGGACATATCATGCATAAAGAATTTAAATTTCCTCGGGTCCCGAATGATGAAATTAAATAGTGAAGCCTGCACAGAGTTCAACAGTCGCTGTAATTTCCAACCCATACAAACGGATTGCAATCATCGCTCATACAACAATTATTTAACGCATTTTCCGTCAACGACCAGACAATGTTTCAATTAGGGAAACATCCAAAAACAAAACATCAATTAAGCATTTGTTGATTGTTAACTAAATTAGGCCAGTGAAAAAAAAAAACAACATTAAATTCAGCAATGACTAAACATTAGCAATCACTAAAATGTGCATCGAAAATAATGGGGTAGAAATTAATTTGCAAATCTATAACAATAGGTGTGTACGATAACCCAATAATTTGTACGTATGTCAGTGAGAGCGGGAGAGTAATTTTGACAGTTAAGTTACTGAGAAATTCTAAAAAATAAGAATATTGCAGTGTATGATCAATTGATGCCCAAATTTTCCAATATGAATCGACATTGGTTTCCTCTAAGTGACAGTGAGATCTACTCACAGGCTTAAGAGGAGTTATTTTGCAAGACTTGTCATTCGCTTCTAAGCAGGGCCATTCACGGCACACATTCTCTAAGTCATTGAACTTGTTGAAGTTGAATGTAAGGAAGACCATATATCGCCCAATTAACTTCCAACCAAGCTTATGTTGACCCATCATACTATTCTTTTTTTAATAAGCCATCCTCGATGATGTCAACCGTATACATCTCCACCAAGGACAACAACAATTTGTTCACTTCTGTTGCAACTAGGTGTTGCAACATCATAATATAGACACACCGATTCTAATGTTGATTCCAATTGAAGGATTATTAAAATGTACCAAATACTGTGTTAGAGAACGATTAGGGCTATAATTTGGGTCAATGTAGGTGTGAAGGGTAAAAAAGGAAGACGAAGGCTTAAAAATGTTATCGGTCGCTATGTCTATGAGAAAGATGTACAAAATAGTAGCATGGTTGCGCCTTATAATTGGCTGAAATTTTTGACTTGTTTACTACTTTCCTAGGTCTATTTGGACTAAATCCATTTTAGAATATTTGGAGTCGATCTAGCTGTGTACGCCCCTCCGTCCGACCGTTTGTCTGGCTGGTGCGAAGGGAGTATACGATTTGGTCCAAACTTTTTGCATCGTATGGGCAACATCGGTCCACTCCTTCTGGTACCTCCCACACAAAAGGTTGAAATTTGAAAAAAATATTTTACTGCACAAAAAGAGAAAGGATAATACGATATTATTCCAACTTTACAAACTCTAATATTCGTATCAGTGCTAGGTCAGGTACAAAAATGGACAATATCAGTCCACTCCATCAAGTACCTCTCCCAAAAAGGGTCAAAATTTTGAATAATTATAGCGCTTACACACATCACAATATTTTTTATAAACTCAAGGACTGGTGTGAAGATACGATATATCGATCCACTCCTTCTGGTACCTCCCCCACGGTCAAAATGTTGAATATCTATGAAGTTCATAAAAAGCGAAATTAACATCCGATTCCATTCAGACTTGGCACATCTCAATATTTCTATTAACGCAAGATCTGTTATAAAGCTGGTAGAGATCGGACCATTCCTTCTGGTACCTCCCTCACACAAAGGGCAAAGTTTTGAATAACTAAAACGATTATAAAATCCGAAATAAGCATCCGTTTCTTTTCATATTCCACACATTCCATTTCTACACACGCACATTATTTCTACTAACATAAGATCTGCTGTGAAGACTGGATATATCGGCTCATACCTTCTGGTACCTCCCCCACAAAGAGCAAAGTTTTGAATAACCAAAACCCAAAACGCTGTGCCCCCGATATTCGGTATTTTGATGATTTTCAATTAAATTGTCTGAAAATCCACACCAGGAGTTCCTTTTGAGTACTTCATCCCTTGGAATAATATTGTCTATATGGGTCCACGATATCGTGTAACCCCCATACAACGGTACTTCCCTATATTCTGTTTTTTGATGATTTTAGCTACAGTTCTTTCTAAGCACTTTACTCCCTGAAAGAGAAATGTCTATATAAGTCTACTGTATCGTATAGTACACCCCAATATTCGAGTTGTTCAAATTTCGTATTTAGAATTCGTAATGGGTGCTACAGCTTATGACAAAAAATTGCGTCGGCAGACCCATGTCTTCGTATAGGCTCCATTTAACGGTACCTCTCAATATTCGTATTTTGACGATTTCAGCGACTTTCTTCAACGGAATTGTTTGAAATTTTGTATTTGAATTTCCTAATAGGTACTCGTATAGCCCCGATATAACGGTAGCTCCCTAGATTCGGTATTTTGATGATTTTACCTAAATTATTCAACGGATTTTTTTCAAGTTTCGTATTTGAATATTGTAATGGCTTATGACAAAAGTTGCCTATGCAGGTCCACGTCTTGAAATAGACCCTGATATAACGGCTACATTCGGTATTTTTAAGATTTTAACACAATTTTTAACGGATTTTTTTTTTTTGAAATTTTCCAAATGGTGGAGGGTATTTAAAGTTCAACCCGGCCAAACTTACTGCTTTTTAAATGCTTTAGTGACTTGCAATGCTGACTTCATTCACCCTCCCATTGCGTTGTTGTAGATTTCAGAGCCTGTGTCATTTCTTATAACCGAAAAGAGAAGGCTTGATTTTGAACTTCTTTTGAGCATCTAATTCTTCACTTCCCTCTAGGGGGTGTGGCTCCTAGGCAATTCTGTGACGGCCTGTCGGTAATGTGTTATTTAAAACCTGCGTAACTCTGTCATGTTGTCGATTGAAAAGGGATTTGACCCCTTCACATTTGACCTAAGTCTTTTTTTATGATATACCCGATATATGGCAAACTTTAATCCCATTTTGGAAGAGGTGCCAGAAAGATTGGACCAGAGCCATCTTTACATAAGATAGACCAACGGACGTAACTAGACCTAGTCCAATTGGATCTAAAAACGTTATTTTGAAGAGATCCTTTCACCTTAAGGCTGAGGGTTCAAAATATGGGTATATAAAGGATATTGGACCAGAACAGATGGGCCATTTGTGGAAGGTAATAATTTTACGATGAACGATGTTTGGACCGAATCGGAGAGTTATTGTGTGCACCAGACATACAAACGAAGCCATATCGCCTCTTTAGCTATAAACCTGAGAGTATCAAAATCTAATACAGTCCACAATTGGCATGTCGGAGCTGAATTTGATATAAAAAATGTCCTGGTGAAGGGACTAAAATTTTTTGAAAGAAGGCAGGCAGTTTACAGTCCATTATATTTGAAATTCAGTTGCCTTAACAAAATGCCTAACTGTTTTATTCTATTGACCATGATCTGATTTAGGTCTGGTACGGAGTCGTTCCCTAAGAAGTGGAATCTGAAATTTTGCAAACGCTGTGCCGACATAGTTGGACAACTTTTCCTTGAATGTATATCAAATATTCAACTGAAAATGTTGATCGAAAATTCCACCAAAAAGTCAATGTTCTGAAAATATTAGCAATTCTGTAACAATTTTGTAAACGAACTTTAAATTGAAGATATTTTATTAAATAATTATCCTTCTTTAACGAAGGGATCAAATACGCTTTAATGATCGTCCATCAAAACAAGAAATTAAGAGTTGAAACCAATAAAGCATTTAATCAATTGATCAGTAATCTCTCGACAACATGAAACTATTCAAGGGGGCCTGAAGATAACAATTGTTGCAAAGATTGTTGCACATTCTTATTTTGTCCACTGGCTCGTCTTTTGATTGTCATCGCATTAAGGCTTCATTGTTTGACGGAAAGAATGATCCAGAAAATAAACAACAAATATATTGCAATTTCTTCCAATGCCACCTCATCATCCTCTTCCTCCTCTCTCATCATGAAAACCAAGTCTCATCCCACTCCACACAGTAGCAATTTCAACAACAACAAAAAATACCCAAACACACAGCTACACTTACGCATTCCCATTACTAGTATCCCCCACAAATGTCCAGGTTTCATTGCAATGTAAAATGATTACTGCTGTCTCTCTATCTGGGGGAGGCTAGCTGGAGGGCTGTGAGGCTATGCTATTCATACAAATATCGGGCACACACTTAAGTTCTTTGTCCGATTTATTAGTTTGTTGTTGCAGAGCAAAATACACACACGACAGCCGGCCGGCCAGCCTATAAAAGTCATGAACTGGGCACGGATTAGCATCAGTTCTAAACGGATCAAGCTCAAGTCAACACAACTCGTGCTTAAAACTTTAAACAGAGAAATTCTTGTGATTTATACAGCAAGCGTCAAAACACAGTACACGACAAAATGAAAGTGACAGCTGTTCTACTGTTTGCCCTCTTCGCTGTGGTAAGTATAAGGATGTCCACTCCATGGAAGCCATTCTGAAACAAAAAAAAAATAATTCTTTCCCCAACAGGCCACAGCCGAATACAAACTCCGCACCCAAGACGACCTGATGAAGGCCCGCAAGGAGTGCATGGAAGCCAAGAAGGTCACACCCGAAATGATTGAGAAATACAAGAAATTCGAATTCCCCGATGATGAAATCACCCGCTGCTACATCCAATGCATTTTCGAGAAATTCGAGCTGTTCGATGCCAAGGATGGTTTCAAGAACGACAATCTGGTAGCCCAACTGGGTCAGGGCAAGGAGAACAAGGATGAAGTTAAGGCCGATGTTGAAAAATGTGCCGACAAGAATGAACAGAAATCCGATTCCTGCTCATGGGCATTCCGTGGCTTCAAGTGTTTCATTACCAAGAACATGCCCTTGGTCATGGATAGCTTGAAGAAGAACTAAACCAAACCCAAACCAAAGAAAAACTACAGTCCTGTAGTTCGTGAACTTTCGAATGGGAACGGCTCGAAAGTTTAGCGTTTATTTATAATTTCTTTTTTTTATTTGTATGACTCCAATCGGAATATATAGAAACGATACAAACAAAACGCAACACAACTGTCCAAAAATGTCCAAAAAATGAAGAACCAAGAACTTGTGCAGCAACAACAAGAACAATAATAATAATGGAGATAATGAATCATCAGAAACGTCCTACAATCGTCATTTTTCTCATATCTTATGTTTTTTTTTGTAATTAAGTATTTAAAACAACAATCCAAGAAACAAGCAAACAAAACAACAACATCAATTTTGTTTAATGTTCGTTAAGTTTAAATAAAATAGCAAAAACCAAAGCACACATTTCTAAAAAAAATCAAAAAGTTTATGAGTTTTTTTTATTTCTACATAAATAGCCTTTGAAAATGGTTTTGAAATAGCTCCGGAAATTTAAAAAAAAATACACGATCGTTACCCACATTTTCTCTAAAAGTCCTGAAAGTTAATCTTAAACTCCTCTCAAAATTACTCTCAAAAATCCACTACCATTTCTCTGAGAATTTCTCTTAAATGTCCACAATCATTGCTACGAAAATTCTCCGAGAATCCACTACCATTACTCCGAGAAAATTTCACGATAATTGCTCTTAAATGTATTCTCTTCTAATAAACAAATTGAAAAGTATCAATCGGTTTAGCCGATAGATGTATACCCTCTGCAAATGTCTGTTTATTTAAATATATTTATTTTCTCACCGGAAATAGCTCTGAATATATTTAAAATACTGGGATTGACAAATTTTGCTCAAAATCGAATGATAATTTCTCTTTCTATGAGGTAAATTATTTTCATTTAAAATGTTGAAATTTTGTGGGGGAGGTACCAGAAGAAGTGGAGCGATGTTGCCCATCTCCGAACTAGATCTAAGTTTGACAAAAATATTACGATGTGTGGGCCAAATTGGATACTTCCTTCGAGTGTTATCGTGCCCACCAGACATCCAGACAGGCACACAGTCGGACGAACGGACATCTCTAGGCCGGCTCCAAAAATTATTTGGTCCAAAGAGGCCAAAAACCGTTATTTCGAAGAGGCACGTTTTGGTCGTATAAAAATATAATAAATAAAATACACAATACTTGTCCTACCTAATAACTGTCCAGAAGTAAATTTAAAAAAGTCCGCAGTCATCGCTCTGAAATGTTCTTAAAATCCGCGAATATTTGCCAAAAAAAAATATTAGTCCACTCTATTAAGTACCTCCCCACAAAGGGTCAACATTTTGAATATCCATGAAGCTCATAAAACGCGAAGTTAACATCCGATTCCATTCAGACTTGGCACATTTCAATACTTCTATCAACACAAGATCTGTTATAAATATGGTAGAGATCGGTCCATTTCTTCAGGTACCTTCTCCACATAGGGTTCAAGATCTTGAAAAAAATGAAACGCACAAACAAAGCGAAATAAGCATCCAAATCTCTTCAGATTTCACACATACAAACATTTTTGCTAACACAAGATCTGTTGTGTGCGAACCTTTTTTTATACCTCACCCACAAAGGGTCACAATTTTCACAATTTTTTAAAATAAAAAACTGCAACAAAATCAAACACCTTGATTTTTATATATTTTTTTTTTAATTTTATTGAATGAAAGCAAAAAATGTCGGAAATTGCATCAATTTTCAGAATAAGTTTACATTTGTTCGAATTGGTCACCTTTGGCACGAATTATAACCTTCAAACGGCAAATGAAACCGTCAGATGCTTCCCGAATGTTGCTCTGTGGTATTTTGGCCCATTCCCGGCGAAGCGCTTGCTTGAGGTGATCTACACTTTGATGTTTTTTTAGTGCCAACCTTGCTTTCCAAAATACTCCAGACATAATAGTCTAACGGATTGGTTCCTGGAGATTTTGGAGGCCATTGTGCGCTGGAAATGAAGCGAGGAAACTCATTTTGTAATCATTCTTGGGTGGCGCGTGCTGAGTGCGTTGGTGCTGAGTCCTGTTGAAATGTCCTAGGTCTGCGGCCAAAATGTTTGCGAGCCTAAGGCCTTAATACACCCTCCAGAATATTTTCGCGATAATATTCGTCATTTATTCTGGTGCCACGTGGATTAATACGAGCGGGGAGCGACCGTCGGCTGTTATGGTCGCCCACACCATCACCATGGCCGGCGCTTGAGTTCTGGTGGCCAACCGAAAGTGCACATTTTCAGCTGACCTCTTTGGCAAGTTAACACGATCATTTTGTATGTTTACAAACTGCAACGAATGTTTTCTCATCGGAGCGGAGAAAACCAAATTCGGCAGTTCACCACTTTCGACCAAGCCAAACAACTCTTTAGCTCTTTTGAGACTATTTGCTTTCTGTTGCGGTGTAAGTTCTTGCACTTTTTGGAATTTTAATGGCATTACCCCGAGCTCATTTTTTCAATATTTTCCGAATGGAATATTGCGATATGTTCAGCTCACGAGCCATTTTGCGACGCGGGTTTCGATAAAGTCGCTTCATTACTTTTCGAACCATTTCTGCTGATGTTGCTGAAGTTTTTTTCCGTCCACTTCCTTTACATCGGGTTGCGCTACCAGTATCACGGTAACAAGCGATGGTAAGATACACAAAAGTTTTATTCACTAAATGCTGGAGTGCTCTAACGATAGCCACATGTGGTTTTCCAGCCAAATATAAAGAAATCACACGCTTTATCACGCTTGAATTCCATCACGAATGACTTTTTTTTGGAAAATTCTCACCAAAATGCTTCTGTACGCTTGTAAGGAATATAATGAGCTGTCACTGGAAAAATTTTAACAGCTATCAGACGAGTGGCTTAGAAATGACTGCAGTCTGAAGTTGGTTGTAGTTTTTTCATCTCACCCCGTATTATGTTCCGCCACAGCAGGTTGAACCCATTACGAACTAAAAATACCAATTTTTAGACAAATCCTTGGAAAAATTGTCAAAAATAAACACCGAATATTGGGAAGTACCATTATATGGGGCTATAAAAAAACCTGGACCTATACATACAATGTTTTGCCACCAGAGCTAGAACCCATTACGAACTACAAATACGAATTTTTGGACAAATCCGTGGAAAAATGTTGCAAAAATAATCAAAATACCGAATATCGCCATATCATTATATGGCGGCTATACCAAAACGTGGATAGATATATCTCATATTCAACACCAATCATCCTAGACACAATACAAATTGTTTACAAATTGTAATGTAGGTTGTATCGTGATTTCAACAGGCAGACGGACAGACAGACGGACATCGTTAAATCGACTTAGAATTTTATGCCAATTATGAATATACGAATATATACTTTATGGGGTCTACTACGAATATTTGGGGATGTTACAAACGGAATGACAAAGTTAATATACCCTACTTTTCAAAGTGAAGGGTGTAAAAATATTGCAAATTGGTTTTCTAAGCCCTATTTTAACATGGATATGTGACTCCAAATTAGTGGTTATTCCTTGGCCAAAAATAAGTAGTTATACTTTGGCTACTACAAAAAATAACTTTATATTTGTCGGGTTATTTCTGGGTAAATTCTTCGTGTTCTCTTATATCGTTTTGTTTTTCGACGTGGAGAAAAAGTAATTTTAGGTTTTGTATTCGGACCACCGAATCGGAAAATTTTCCTTTTTTGCCTAGTAAATTTGATTGAAATAACTTATAATTTTGTAGTTGTATTCACTTGCAGTACTGAATGTGACATATCGTCAAACATTTTAGTTTGTAGGGTAAGTGTGCCAGTAGTCGGCACTTTTAGGCTTTTCAATATTTCAATCTTTCGACATTCTGAGTGAAATCTTTCAATTGCAGAAAAATAAAGTTGTTCAGATTCCATATTTTGTTTAGTTTTCGAAATAATAAACAACAATTGAATTTGTTTATATTAAATTGTCAAAATTTGCAATTTTACCAAAATAGTAGTTTTTTGCCAGTAGTCGGCACCATTTGCCAATGCTCAGCATGTCTATTTGCCAGTAGTCGGCATATGCTATTTCATTAAAAAAAAATATTATTTTGTATATTTTCTTATTTCAAATAGTATAAAACAATGCTGTAATACTAATTCACAGTTTAATTAACTAATTTCGTTTTTAAATAGTGTTTTACTTAATTATCATTCTAAACCAAATATAGGTAGAAAATCAAGAATAGTATGGATTTTCAATTAAAATAAAAATGAGATTAAATAAAAATAAAAAAGTACCTTTCTTATATTCTTGTTCCTTTAGATAACCAACATTTTTTAAATGCCACCGCTATCTAAAACGTGAAATAGCTGATTTAAAAAAACCTACTTAATTTAGAAAATTTGGACAAAAAGCTCAAATAATAGCAACTGCCGAATCAAAACTATTTTTTATTTGAGTAGTTTTTGGATTTTTTTAATACTTTTCTCAAGTTTTGGTGAAATAGGTCAAAAATGATATTTTTCTAGTAATCGGCACCCACTGCCTCTCTTTTTTTCTGTTCCTAATGTCGGCATTAAATAATAAAAGAGAAAAATGCTTGATTTGTATGTTTTTAATTTATAAAAGTGATCTTCAGTCTGTTATTTACCTTAATAAAATATTTCTGATTACAAAAGTATTAAATTTAATTTACTTAAATCGATTATTAAGTTGACGCCACCACTATTTTTTTCTTTACAAACAAGCACTATCGCAGCTGTTGGAAGACACTCACTGACACAAACCGTTATTCTATCGTAATAAATGATCTAAGCTCATTGTTTTTTTTATAGAAAGAGAGCAGAGAACACTGTTTTTTATGTTTTTTGCAATTATTTCATTATTTGGTCAATTCCATTTTTAGTTATTTAAGTTTAAATTTCAAATTTGCCGACTACTGGGACATGCCGAACTTAGGCGCACTTACCCTATCTTTTAAAATAAAATCATTTTTAAAAATTTGCTTAGTATTATTAATATAATTGTTTTTTTATTCTCTTAAAATTATAAAACTAAAATCTAAAGAATTTAATTCTTTCTTTTTTCAACAAATCACAAAACTTAAAACTATAATGAAAAATATGCGCAACTATTTCATAGCTCGAATCTCTTTAAGAACTCTGTGATGTTTTCCTGTTCGGTTCTGGCACGTCGTGAACGTTTAGCCTTTGAATCGACCAAATCTTTCAAATAGAATTCCCATTGTCTGGAACCACTTGGTATGCGATACAAATAACTGGAAGTTGTTGGTGTAAGGCTGAAGCGGTCCATAGTTCGGGAAGGTTTGTTGAGTATAACATGTTCTATTTCCATAGGTTGACTAGTGGGTATGACAGCATGTTCGCTGATGAAATCGTGGGTTTCGGGAAGCATTTTTTTAATTATATAT